TTCTTCACTCCTCCTTCATTTAAATCTAGCCTGGCTTTCCATATCTTATGTCCTGCACACAAACTGAACAGATAAGGGTATTCAATGTAGCATTGTCTGAAATGTTTGCGTATAGAACAGTGGTCCCCAACCTTGGGCCTCCAAATCTTCCTGGACTTCAACTCTGAGAAATCCTGGTGAGCAGAGGTGGTGGTGAAGGCTTTTGGGAGTTGTAGTCCAAGAACATCTGGAGGCCCAAAGTTGGGGACCACTGCTATAGGAAACCATTCTGTCTCTCTATATATTCTGTCTTAACTGTAGCTTGCCCACAATACTGGTTACACCTCAGAACAATCAAGTGAAAGCCTTTGTTGTGACACCTTGAGTATAATTTTGGTTGCATGGGAGTTGTAGTCCAAGAACATCTGGAGGCCCAAAGTTGGGGACCACTGCTATAGGAAACCATTCTGTCTCTCTATATTAGGTCTTAACTGTAGCTTGTCCACAATACTGGTTACACCTCAGAACAATCAAGTGGTGAAGCATGCTCATTACATTCAGAACAATTCAATTGTTCTCATGATTCACACAGTCAAAGCCTCTGTTGTCATCTATGAATCATAAATTGATCTTCTTCTGAAACTCTTTGGTACTGTCCAATAGCCAGTGGATATTTCCAATGTGATCTCAAGTGTCTCTTCCTTTTCAGAATAATTTCTCACTCCATATAAGGTGAAAGCCTTTGTTGTGACACCTTGAGTATAATTTTGGTTGCATGTGAAATTAAAGCAGTGATCCTGCTTATGCATCTCCTTTTTAAAGAATTGGAATGTATACTGAGTATTTCTAATCTATGGGCCACTGTTTTATTTTCCATATTTGTTTGCATAGTCGTGTTAGCATTTTAACAGAATCAGTCTCTGTGGCTTAAAATAATTCTATCCGTATCCCATCTACAGCATTCACTTCACGTTTTAGACCTGCAAATTCTTCGTCATGATTTCTCTTCCAACAAGTCTGTTATCCTTTTGTTTGTCTCAGCCTTCTCTTTGTTTTCTACTGGTCAGACAGTGTGTTTCCTTATTAGTCTTTCAGCATTTTTAATATAAGATTTTCTTTAATTTCTTGAATCTTATGGAAGAGATCTCTCATGTTCCCTCTTTTGTTTTTCTCCTGTATTTCTTTGCACTGGCTGTTGTAGTTGTTCTCTTTGTCTCTGTGCAAGACATTCAGGGGGAGGAGAGTATTTTCCTTTTCCTCCTCCTCACATCCCTAAGGGATCTTTTCTATCCACTTCTATCCATTTTGCCATTGATCCCATGGACCAATGAAATCACTTGCAAACAGTCCATTGGTACATTACACAATTTCTGTATGAAAAGCAACACTATAGATTTTTTTACATGACAACTACAACATGCAGTGTGGTATAGCACTTAGAGGGTTGGAATTAGATTTGGATTCTGGGAATTAAAAAGGCAACCTTTCCCAAGCTCTGCCCCTGAGCTCAGGGGATTAGAAAGGCATGGCTGGGGGAGCAAGGATACCCCTCCCCTCTCTGTGGGCCACCTCAGATAAAAATATTATGCCATTTGGCTTCCATTAAAAAAAAAAAGACAAAAAGGGCTTAGTAGTTTCTGCAGAGGAAGAAAAATAATGCTTCCAAGCAAGCAAGCCCAAGGGCCACAGGTACCTGGGGCTTGAGGAGCCAAAGCTAATTCCCTGTTTTGGGAATCTATTCATATGGAGAGTTTTGTCTGAAAGGAAGATGCACCACAGATGAGGCTCTGCCCCAGGAAGAATAGCTGGGAGCAGGAGAGGGAGGTGGCTAGTTACTGTGGAATGTGAGATTGTTTGGATGCAATTACATTCCAAGGAGAAGATTTGATCCCCAGTTTCAATGGCCCCTGTTCTGTGTGGAAAGCTGGATTGGGAAGTAGCTGCTGCCTGTCTAGAGACCCTTATTACAGACATCCCTCTGTGAACTTTGTAAAGGCAAAATGGTGTGTTTCCCCTTCCTGCACTCTTCCCTCCCTGCAAGTCCGTCAGACACCCATCTCCAGTGAGACAATTGGTTGATCACAAATATAAGTTGAAAGCTTTAGGTTGCTTAGCCACCTCCAGTTGTTGCCTTCCAAATACAATGGATTACAACTCTCATCAATCCCAGTGAATTGCGCAAGGATGGCCAGAGTTCTAATCCAACACATCTGGAAGGTACTAGGTTCAGAAAGTCTTGGCTAAATCATCACACACACACACAAACACACCAAGATTTGATGAATTCTGCCTAAATTCAGAGCTTGGGAAAGTTACTGTTGGACTGCAACTCCCAAAATTCCCTAGCCAGCATGACCATAGGCTGTGCTACCTAAAGGATTCAGGGAACTGCAGTGCAAAAAGTAACTTTTCCAAGTTCAGAAGCTGTTCTTGCAGAGCTCTGGGAATGCCAGATTGAATCAAAAGGGATGGTTCATTGTTTGGTTGTGTTTGGGAAGAGTGATGAGGCAAATTCCTTCTTGTGGATAACCCTCCCCACACTGTGATAACCTGCACAGACAACCTGGCTCCTCCAGACACTTGGAGGCAGGGAGGCCTCTGCAGCTGCTTTTCTTTTTTAAAAGACTGGAGTGGGGGAAAGCCTGATAACTCACAATCATCACACTATCTCCCCCTGCGGAAGTGCATTTGATGAAAACTTTTGTATCGTAAGAGGCCATTTTTTATAGAACTGACAGATATCTCTGCAGTGAAACAGAGGTGTTAGTCTGCTGAAGCAAGAATTACAAAGACTCTAGTGGCAGCTTAAAGACTAACAGTTTTTCTTTGGCATAAACTTGGTAGAGTTCGGCTTGTCTTTTCAGTGGCTATTTGAAGCATCCTGAAACAGCCTTCCCCCAATCTGGTGTCCTCTAGATGTGTTGGGCTAACTTAAGGAATATTTTGGTGCATGCTGCCCAAAGCAGAGCCATTTGTTATGTTGTACAGAAAGAAACATGTATTCTTCCATGTATGGTGATGGGGACATCTGACAACACTACTTTAAGAAAAGGGAGCAGGGCTGAAATCTACTGGCAAAATGTATTTTTCTATTAAAATAAATTCAACATGGCTCTCCACAATGGGAGCAAATGGGATCCCTCCCCGCTGGAACCCTAAACATATTTATTACTTTAATGTACCCAGAGAGATACACAGTTATAACAGTATGTAGAATTCCTAGCATGGTTACAGAGAGTCTTGCAGAAAGAATCAGTTAGCTGTGTCCATCTGCAGCTGTCAGAGTACAGATTAACCATTTGCCTCCCAGAAATTGCAGCTGTTTCTAAATTCATGTTCCCATAATGATTTTTGGCTTTCTTTCGTGACAAGTCATCTATGTCAATTCCTCCCATTAAGCTAAGTGGTGCAGTTAACGGGTACACTTTATGTAGTGTTCAAAGACATGCTGGCCTCTTCATAGCCAGGTGAAGGGATTATTTTGTGCCTTGCCTCTACAGCTGGGAAAATGCTTAGAAGCAGAAACTGGAAAGCCATTTTTAAGACAAATAAATGTTACACAGGTGGAGCACATATAGTCTTCCACATGTGGTTTGACTGCACATCCCTTGCCATTGGGTATGTTGGTTAGGGCTTATGGAAACTGGAGTTCAACAGTGCCTCAAAGGCCACAAATTCCTTCCAGTATAGCAACATATCCGTAACAAAACATTTCCCATCTCACAATATTGCCATCCATAATTGAACAATGAGAGGTGCGGTGGCCCATGGCCCAAACCATCGATGGTGAACCTATGGTGCACATGCCCTCTCTGTGGGCACATGAGCCAGAAGTCACCATTGAGAAATACTTACCTGTCCTCTGATCCTGGATTTTAGCACTCCCCTCTGCTGGTGCAGTTGCCCAGCAGAGGGGTGCAATGGCGACCATTACCAGTCTAGCCCAATGGGCGACTGGAGGACCAGTAAGGATCTCTTTATTAATACCGCCCATAGTGTAGAAAAAAAACACACCAAGCATTTAACCCTTGCAGTGCAGGAGCAGTTGTTTTTTTCCTAAACTAAAACGTCAGTATTCAGGTTTTAATTGCAGTGCTGGCACTTTGAAATAAATAAGTTGATTTTGTGTTGCAGTTTGGGCACTCAGGCTCAAAAAGGTTCACCATCACTGGCCCAAACCAAAACTACACTCTGTGAGATTTTACTGGCATCCCTGGAGAAATACAAAATAATCCAGTTAGTTTCTCCAGTGGCTTCCAGTCTTGGGCCCGCAGATGTTCTTAGACTAAAACTCCCAGAAACCTTCACCACTAGCTGTGTTGGCCAGGATTTCTGGGAGTTGCAGTCCAAGAACACCTGCGGACCCAAGGTTGGGCACCATTGATCTAGACATACTATGCGGCAGGGAGTTCCCCGGTACAAAAGCCTGCCTTTTCTCAGTTCCTGTTACGAAACACCGTTGCTCGCTGTATGTCTTTCAACAGATCCTCACCTGCACCCCACAGTCGCTTTCCTCCCTCTTTCCTCTTTCTCTCCTCGTTTCATAGGCTCTTAATTCTTCCACCACTTCCCGATCACCAAGGAGCGGAGGCG